TTGGCCTGGTTCCTGATTCACTACACACAAAGTTTAATGGGAGGCTACTCTATGTTCGAAAAAACCTCAGTGGTACTTTAGTGTACTGCTTGTGTTGAGACTGATCATTTAAACATTAGTACTCCGTTGTATAGAAAATGGTGCTAACAACGATTGTGCTAAAAGCCCAAAAGAAAATGAAATTGAAATTGATGAACCATGACATTTTGATAAAAAAAAGCAAGTGTTGGTTTTAAAATCGTTGATATGGTGACCCGCGACAGTCAAAAAGCAAGAAAAAGCAACTTCGAGTAAAACATTTTATAGCCCAAAATTATGAATGGCCCCCAAAACGCATTATATTTTACCAATTTTAGATATTTATAAGACAGAAAAATATGTTTGAGTATAGTAATGATCACTTTGCATCAATGCAATGTTATTATATAGAACTTCCATTTAATTTCAAAGCAAAGGAAACGAAGTGTCGAAGAGCATGTCATAATTTCAGGGAAGCTGTAGAGATTCGCCAATAAATCAATGACCGCCTCGCAGATTATCACACTTTGTGAAGCATTTATATGATCGCCATCACAAAGATTTCTATAACTGCAATCAAGAGTGAACATGTTAGGTTACTGCTGTCCGAGTTATGCGAACGATACAACTTTGATGTATAATGTACGTATCCGTTATCATCTGAAATACAAGGTACGGAACGCGGTGAAGTCCTTAGAAATTGTAGTTTTTATTCCCTTTTAAACTTTCAGCATTTAGTGTGAAAGCAACGACTATTTCCCCCGATGTCAGTATAATGTGATTGGTTAGAATACTGTGCTGGGTGCCTCCAGGATGGTGTTTTACTTAGTAACCGTACTTTGGGATATTTTTGATGTGATTATATTTTGGTTTATTTGACGCTTGTAGTGAATGAGTCAAAATTAAACACATCCAAATTTTCCCGATGCCAAATTATACCGTCGCAACATCTGGATATCGGCAGACCGTTCTTCAACTCATTCATTATACATCAATTAGTAGCACTCTAAAGTCATTCGGCAAACCTTGGGTGACTCCGCTGCGCTAGGAGCGAGCCGACCGAGGATTTCCGAGTGCTCTAAAGTCGAATTCAGAGCCCCTTTACGAAAGAGGTTCAATACATTCAACTCACAAAGTTACCGCATTTACAAACAATTCATTATACAATACCCGTGTATCAGATTGGGATCATGGACTAACAAATGAAATCCCTGTCTGTGTTGTGTTCATCGGTTTTAATTACACAACTTTAAAACTTTTAGAACAAAATGTATTCCATCTGACACACGTTGTTTAAACTAAGAAGACATAAGACATGTCTGTTTACACTTACATTACACTCTCAAAGAATGAAACAGCTTTTATATCTAACAGGGGGGGGGGGGGGGGTATTTTCTCTTTTATTTGTATAAAAAAAATCTACAAATAATGTGTATCTAGTTATTGACACGTTATAAGATGTATGTTTGCGAAATAGGCCCTTTGTACTAATTTACATGTATACATTACTTTTTTTAATATTCATTCATTCATTCATTCATTCATTCATTCATTCATTCATTCATCTATTCATTATTTCATTATCTATTCATTATTTCATTATCAATTCAATATTTCATTATCTATTCATTATTTATTCATTCACCTTCCATACTTTTCCTTACGCTGTATTTCTGTTCATTGTTAGAATGTCCTAAAAACTAAATTGATTGTCACGTAAAAATATGAAAAAAAGAAAAATTTATATAAAATATCCGTATAAAAGTTATTAATTCCATACTGTAATACAACGATAAACGCATAGCTAGCTTATTTCAGTTTTAAACAATATTTCAATCAAATAAGAAACATAGGAATTTATTTATATACACAATACTACTACTGTATAATACTATAGGTCAACTTCTATAGGGATTATCATGTCAACATTATGTTGAAGGGGACATAACTCTGGTAGGTCTATCCATTTACAATTCATAATCGGTCTTTATTCTACGGTTTAGGACACAATATGTACCTGCATACTTTTGTATTTATGTTGATATACGTCAGTACATACTGACCACAGGTAATAATGATAATATACAACATTTATATAGCGCCCTATATAATTTGTAAAATTGCTCTAAGGCGCGTTATAACACACGAATAATAGTCTTCCTACCGTGACAGTTATAGATATAGTAGATAAAAAAGGCATACAAATCAGGTCTTAGTTATGTGGATGTATATCTGGGGATATGTGAAAAGCCATCCTCGAAATTCCAGTGGCTACGCTAACATGTGTACTGTACAGAGAACGTGAGTGTCGTCACCCCCGGAATTTAATAGGATGGTTAAAATCGAAAGGGACCAATTGTGTATTATATGGGGATGTACACGTATATACACAAATCGTCAGTCCGTGTATTTATTGTGGTAAGTATATGAAAAAGTGTTATGAATAATTTATCTTTAAGTTTGCACCAGGGTTTGAAAATTGTGATATTGACAGATGATAAGAAAAATTTGAGCTAAATTATTCTATTTTATATAATTTAAGTTCAAACAATGCAAAACAAAATGAGAACTTTGAACAAAATAATAATGCAAGTTTCATAACTATATGTCAGAAAACAGTGCCTCCGAAATGTTCTTCCGAGTTGAGAATGAAAGGTAAGAGGTATGGTAGATAACAACCCGTATTTCTAGAAATATGGCAGTTAAGGATACCTGTCCCACTGCAGGCAAAAAACCCTGAAGAGTTCCACATTAGTTTTATGTACATTAAGTAATCTCCCGTTAAACCCCTTAAAAATCCCGCAAGGTATATTTTTCGGAAATGCTTTGTCATGCCCGAAAAAGAGTTAAATATACATGTGTATATGTTTTTGTTTCTTTTACAAAAAATCATTTTAATCAAGTCATTCCAACTTATATCAGTCATTCTTGTTGGTCCGGATAGAGGCGCGTAAAAGGGTCTTGATATTGGAGAAACCGGAATACCCGGAGAAAACCCGCGTGGTTGGACTGGTGACCCAGTACGTATATCTTTCACATCCAATGGGGAAATCAAACCCGGCCGTCCTGGCGGGAAAAGAGGTTCCTAATACATGTATAGTTACAATTACACATGTACAAGTGAAATAATAAAAAGATGAAAACCTGACAAAGAGAAATAACGAAATGACGAAAACACGCCAAAACTAAGCAACGAAATAACGCCAAAAGGAGGGAGAGAAGACACCATTTTTAAAATTCCTACGCTTTGGTGTTTTTTTCGTTTGTCTCTGCGTTACTTGGCCTTGGCGGGATTGTACAATCTTCTTTTTATTATTTTGTTTTGTCACATTGGTTCTTTTCGCGGGCGAAAAAACAAAAAAACGAAATTCCATATATGGGTCACCACATAACAACATGTATAACTTGTGGTCTAGTGGCTAGTTGGTTAGATTTATTTGGTTCAGTGGATAACACGCCACACTTGTACAGATATTAATATAATCAGTGATATTTTGACACGCGTTTTATTACATGTGCTATCAACAGCACTAAATCATACGCCCACTGCGCGGACTGGAAACCAACCGCTGAACCCTGTAGAATAGGTCTCTCATAGCTAGTCATGTAGCTTTAGTTAATCATTTAAAGCCATAAATCTGTCTACCTATCTAAACTCATGTAGGCGAACATTTTTCTCCTTCCAATACATGTACCAGTACGGTGTTCTCAAAGTTCTATTTGATTTTTCGCCAAACAAATATTGTAATTAAGTATTACAGTTCACAATAACACGATTATCATATGGAGTAATTTTACATAAAATTAAGTTAAAATACATTTCTAATCCTACCTATAATACTTGTGCTAGATCCCCCCCCCCCCCCCCCCCCACACACACACACCATCCACACCCACACACGGTAGTTTACTAACCCGAGAACCCCCCCACCCCCCACAACAAGATAGGTGGGGATTTCCCGTCGTTTACTGGATTTAGGATGTTTCTCAAAAAGGAAACTGACAATGACAGAGAGAAACTAATTAAGGGCGGAAAAGCGATAGAAAGAAAGCCTTCTAGCATCGAGACAACTCCTAATACACGACGTTTATTCAACGTTCAAAGTTGTGTTTGGCCGCGACGTTGACGTCGATTCAACGATACATCTCAGCGTCGAAATGTAAATGTAATATGACGTTGAAACAACGTCGATATATCTGATTTTTAAATAGTACCCCTAGCTCACAGTTGCATAATTAAAGTAACTAAGAGTTTTAAAACTCTAAAACTAACTAACATTGATTTGGCAAAATATTAAATAGAATCAGCTATAGTTATATATACTAATATATCATTAGTGAGGTAACGTATACCCTTAAGGAGGTAATATGTTACACTTTAAACACGTGGTTCGGATCGGAGACATTTCTATTAAAATATTTATATCGTGAACCCTAGCTAGCTGTAGCGCTGTCCTCCGACAACACGATAGAATGAATCGTTTAAAGTCAATGTGTCGGTAAAGACAGTTTTTTTTAAATGTATTGCCCGGAGTACCTTAAGAATTCCTTAAAAATCCAATTCTTTTGTAAAATAAGGCATATGTCATAATAATGTTAAAGGAATGATGTCCTTAAACTGTAAATAGATGACCACGGAATTAGATTAAGTCCTTGGAATGATTCATTACAAAGGAATGATGTCCTTAAACTGTAAATAGATGACCACGGAATTAGATAAAGTCCGTGGAATGACTCATTACAAAGGAGTGCATCTTCGAATGAAAGAATATTGTTGTGTCGGCATGTTTCTGTTTTAGTTTTTGTTTATAAACACCTGGTTCTTCACTGAATTAGTGATCAATTACAACAAGCAACATGCTAATTCCTGCCACTAGCTTTGTATTCAAAACAAATCCCTTCATTGACTGGGTTTTAAACAAAGCGCCACACATAAATTAATGACTGCTCCCCGCGTGACCTCTGATGGGGTCACTAGATCACATGACCACGTACGGTTTATTTTAGTGCATGCTCTCGACTGTCTGTGACACAACGGTGTTGGAAGTGTAAGACAGGTATTATTATAACGGAAGCTGACTTATATCAACAGACATGAGTGAAGGAGCTAAAACAGTGGAATATTACCGCGAAATTGGTGAGAGAGTAGCCGACACGTTACAAAAATACAACAATGATACTGAAGGCTGGGAGGAAAGCAAGTCTACGGTAAGATAGTCTAAAATCAGTTATTGCAAGTTGCACATGTCAATGTATGCACACATACCGGGCAATGTGGGGATAACCATTACGTAATGACCATTGTCAAGCCAGCTGTCCCCCTTTGGGCTACTGATCTGTGACAGTGTCCTTAAATTGATGTCTCGGTGTTCACTAGCTGGCACTGTATATCAATATCAGACGTTTGTTTTTAGTTTAAATATTGCCACACTAAGCTAGGGCCGATCGTTACGATCGAAACGAAATCACTGTAGTAAAATATGAAATTAGTTCTATCGACTGGTAAATTCGCTTACCTTTGACTCTCTTCGTGTTTACGTATGTGTAGGGGCTACTAGCCGTAATTAATCATTTTCATGACGTACATTTTACCCACATGATGGGCACATCACCAAACTCTGCTTATATTAAATTTTAGAATCTAATTGATATTGTGGTCGGCACAAATCGTTGACTGTTTTCAGTAAGTTATTAGTATACTCCATGTATGATAATGATCTACTGTTTTTAAATAAACAAAAAAAAAAGTTTAACTATTTTGATTCACTTAAATTGGTTTAGTTGTGGCAAATAAATCTTATCAGCATTGTTATTTGTACTGTAATTTTAATAAATTAAATGCTTGACATATTTTCTTTATTCAATGTGTGGTTTAAAATTACTATCAAGTGGTAAGGAAATTTTACACATGTATGATCTATAAGCAGACCGAAGTATTATTGCAGGAAGCCGCTAAGTGCTTCCAGTTATTGGGTAAGATAACACTTCTTGTGCAATAAAAATCTTGGGTGCTTGAGGTGATAAAAATAATCTGAAAATGGGAGAAAAAGAATGTACAACAGCAGACAGGGTTTTCATGATCATTGTGTTCTGGCTAAGGCTACAGTGCCGTCAGATCTGTTTTCTGTTACTTCTCCAGACTTCTCTGACAGAACAGCATTTAAGTGAAATATAACATTGTGTAAAATCGAATGTGTTCTGTAATATATCCTTAAGTACTGTTCGGGGGTTTGTATGAAACAGCCCAGTCAGATCGTAATGTGTTTCATTTGCTTTTCTTCTGCCAAAAAAGATCAAAAACAATTACATCAATATCTGTTTGAACTGGCTACAAAATCTCTAACTGCATGTTTTCCAACATTCTTGTTTTTCCCCCTACAATGTATATAACAGATTTATAGTGACCACCTCTACATGATGTCCCCCTCTATATAACAGATATTATAGTGACCACCTCTACATGATGTCCCCCCATATAACAGATTTATAGTGACCACCTTTACATGGTGTCCCCCCCATATAACAGATATATATAGTGACCACCTCTACATGATGTCCCCCTCTATATAACAGATTTATAGTGACCACCTCTATATGGTGTCCCCCCATATAACAGATTTATAGTGACCACCTTTACATGGTGTCCCCCCCATATAACAGATATATATAGTGACCACCTCTACATGATGTCCCCCTCTATGTAACAGATTTATAGTGACCACCTCTACATGATGTCCCCTCTATATAACAGATTTATAGTGACCACCTTTACATGGTGTCCCCCCAATATAACAGATTTATAGTGACCACCTGTACATGATGTCCCCCTCTATGTAACAGATTTATAGTGACCACCTCTACATGATGTCCCCTCTATATAACAGATTTATAGTGACCACCTTTACATGGTGTCCCCCCAATATAACAGAT